CTAATGATAAAATGATAAAAGGGATAATGGACAAATTTTTAGAAAAACACAAATTGAAAGATATATACATACTTTTGAACCTTCCAAGGATATAATTCACTTTCGAATATGGGAATAATCTAGTGAGCAGATTAGATAAGTTTTATGGAAATAATTTTAATTTTAAAAGGTACAAAGACTCAAAAAAAAAAAAACAACTGTAAAAAAATTCGGACCACAAATTAATAAATTTAAATATCCAGATTATAAATAGAAGTAGATGGGGAAGGGGAATTTGGAAATTAAAAAAAACAAATAGAAAATGAAGAGTTTATAAATGAGATTAAAATAAAAATAAATAACATTTTAAATATGAAACATGAAAATATTATATTAATGTGTTTAAAGAAAGATTTTTAAAAAATAGCATTGCGGCACTCTAAAAGAATAAAAGAGCTTAGGGACATGGAAGAAATAGAAATCAAATTACAACTAAATAGGAATAACACTGATGAGTAAAAAAAATGAATTAGAAGAAAGACTTAAACATATTAATTTAGATAAGGAAAATGGAAATGAGATAAGAGCAGGAAAATTTTCAAATTTATATACAGTAGCTAAAGGTTTAAATAAAAGGGAAGAGTTAAAGCAGGGGAAGGACTGAAAATTATAGAAGAAATATGGGATAAGGGAGGGAAAATTTTAAATGATAAAAAATATATTTTAAAGAGGATTAAAGACTATTATCAAGAACTTTACACAAAACAAAACGTAACAATAGGCCAAATAAATGACTATTTAAAAGATGTTAGATGTGAGATGATCTCATCAGTACATAAGGACTTATGTGATGATTTCATCTCTACAAATGAAATTAGAGATTCAATAAACCTCGGGTAGAGATGGACGCACTGCGGAATTCTATCATAAATTCCAAAGTGAGTTAACGCCGATTCTAGAACTCCTATACAATAACATTTTTTTTTATCAAATAATATATGACAGATTCAATGAAGGAAGGGATGATATCGCTAATATATAAGGGGAAAGGGGAAAGATAAGATTTTAAAAAATGGGAGGCCCATCTCCCTCCTAAATATTGATTATAAAATATTAAGTAAAATATTAGCTAATATGGGTAAAAAAAATGTATGAATAACATTATAAATGAAAATCAAACACGTGGGTCTAAAGAAAGGGATATTCAAAACAATATTTTACACATAAAAACCATAATTGAATGCATTAAGATAAACAATAAGATCAACAATATGGTGCTAATCGATCATTTGACATTTGACATTATTGAACACAACTATATAGAGAAAATACTCGAAAAATTTGGATTCGGAGAAAACTTCCGAAGATGGACTAAAATCCTGTACAATGATATAACTGCGAGAGTACAGGTAAATGGAGCTACTACAGAAAAATTCGACATACTAAGATCAGTGAGGCAAGGATGCCCACTATCGATGTTATTATACGTAATAGCAATAGAAATTCTAAGTATAAAAATAAGAAATAATAATAGCATAGAAGGGATACATATACCAAATTTATAAAGAGAACGGTAAAAGCTCTAGGTATATACTTTGGGCAAAACGAAGACACGGAAAACTATAAGCAAGTTTTAGAAAAAATTTAAAAAATCACTAGAAACCTGGACACAAACGCCACTAAGTATTATGGAATGAGCCCAAGTGACGAAAACATATCTATATTCCAACATAAATTATATTATGAAGTCCATTGATTTTAATAATAAAGACCTAGTTAAGATTGATAACGAAATTATTAAATATATATGGAATTTCAAAACACATTACATACAAAAAGAAACTTTATATAGATCAATAGATAATGGAGGATTAAATTTACCAAGTCCTGTACTAATAAAAATTTCAAATATAATAAATCTTTTTAAAATAATCAAATCAACAACAACAATACCGTGGGAGGGAATATATTTATATTGGTTTGGTTTTGTTCTTAAAAATAATCAGGAAATATATAGGAATAATAAATTGATTAAATTACTTGAAGTACCTAGAAAATATTATTTTTAAATACAGGGATGTAAATATTTTATGGGAGGGGATAAGGAAAAAACTTATAAAGTAATAAGAAAACTATTTTTTTTTTAAAAAAAATAAGAGATGTAAGATAGAAACAGAATTATGGGGTGTTAATTGGGGAAATATATGGAAATCATGGGGGACAATAAAATCGTTAAAAATTCAAAGTATAATTTTTAAATTTTTACATAACGCCTGGTTAACAGGAGGCGCATGATTAAAGTGATACCGAAATGCCCATTGTGTGAGAATTATGAATTTTCCAAAAGACATGTGATTTTATATTGTCAAACGATTCAAAATGAGAGGGAAGAAATTATTATTATAAAACAATATGGGGCTTTTAAAATAGGGAATTTACTGTTCTTATATAAGGAATACAACAAATTGGACTATATGAAAATAATAAGATTTATTTTAACAACTATGAAAAGATGTGGGCAAATAATTAGCATAAGGAAATAAACTTAACTTAAATGAAATCCTTTTAACTTATAGAATATAATAATATTTATGCATTAATAAGGATTTTATGTCTTTACAGATAACTCCACACATGGAAGAAGTACGGGACAAGGACGTCGTAGGGCTATATCACATGGCGTTATGCGAAGTGAGCAGGCCTGTGGAAGAGCCTCAGAAAACACCACGTGTGGAATTACAAAAAAAAAAAAGAAAACATATATTTCGGACTATTTATTAGGAATTTGGGAAAACTACGGGGAAGTAGGGTCTAAATTAAAAAAAATTTAAGACCCTATTTCATTAGCAACAAAATTGAAAAAGTAAAGGTAGACGGAACATCATAGACATACATATAATAAACACTAGGTTTTATTTTTTTAATAATTCAATTTAGTGCACCGTCTGACCTCAAAATTAAAAAATTTTAAAATAATGTATTTTATTAAAATTTAAAAAAATAGAATAAATTATATGCATCAATAGAATGAATAAATGAGTGTAAAAAGGGTAGAATGAGAAAGAAAGAAAGAAAAAAAAAGAAAAAAGAAAGAAAGAGACAGAGAGAGACCCCTTTATTGAGAATAAATCTGTGCATTTGATATTATTGCAATAACCTTATTTATAGACGTTTTCTGAGATGTAGACATGATGCAAAGATATTGAAAATGGCAATAACAACTAATACCTAAAACTATATAAAATATTGAAAAGTTAAAAACTGTATACTGTCCAGTGGTGATATACTACCGGGGTGGGAGTAATATCAACGTTTTAATATGTTAAAAATATTGTACTATAATAATAAATTGTTTCGTTATTCTTCATTAAATTCAAAATGTGATAATGGGCATTTAATTATGCAGGTTAATTGAAAATATCATTTTGTAGACTATGCCATTAATACTTCTTTTTAAATAATAGAAAAAAATTTGGTGCTATTAAATTTTGATTTCATATATGGTTTAAGTTTGTCAAGCTACACTTTGTGTAAGTAGGACGCAAAAATGACAGGTACTAATCTAAAAATTACAGATACTAGTATAAAAATGACAAGTACTAGTCCAAAAATGGCAGATATTAGTATATAGACTTCGTGAGATGGAACGTTTAGACCGAACTTCAAGGTGACTTTTTCTGCAATGTAGAATGGACTTAATGCTATCTGACCATTGTTTCAAATATCACTACGTCATTCACTGGCTGATTTATTTATTTATTTATTTATTTATTTATTTATTTATTTATTTATTTATTTATTTATTTATTTATTTACCAAACTATCTACCATATTACAGAAATTTAAACAATCAATAATTGGTCATATAGGATTATAAACATAGACATGAATATTCATACACAAATATAAATATATACACGATTATTCATATACAGTCATAAATTTAATGACGAATAATCATATACAGGAATATTCATATCCAAATATAAATATAAATATACGTGAAGAGTCGTGCACAAATATAAATATATACAGAAATAGTCATGTACAAATATAATATATACATGAAGAGTCATGTATAAACATAAATATATAAATGAATAGTTATACAAATATAAATATATACACAAATAGTCATGTACAAATATAAATATATACATGAAGAAACATGTACAAATATAAATATATACCTTATTAGTTCCAGCATATATAATTATTTCACAGTTCATGTAGAAGTAAGAATATAGGGAATAAATATGTAGGATTGCCGGATAATAACGACAAAAATGTAAGTCGATACGGTAATGTTCAGAGGACACGGTGTCTTAGAGTTGTATCTGGTCTACACTCGTCCGCGTTTAAAGTACATATAGATAAACACGTGGCTTAGGGATAAATCGTTATATAAGCTATACCATTTGGTTCCCTGCTACGTATACTGAACTTTATTCACACGATCACCAACGTCATAATATAAAAGAAAAGTCAATGTATTCCAATTCAGTATTAAGACTTGAATGGATGAATTATTTCAAACTTCACATTTTAGTTAATTCATTTATAATCAATAATCCTTTGTGTACGGATAACATAAAGAGAAACATTATCACGATTTAAAATCCAACTTTTAAAAACCGTTTAGTATATTCTGTAGATCAGGATTACCAGACTTAATTTCATTTGTACATGTTTCTACTTGTCTCCTGAATTGATGATCGCGTGTGAAATAACAAGATACAATTTAAAGTGTGTGTGTGTGTGTGTGTGTGTGTGTGTGTGTGTGTGTGTGTGTGTGTGTGTGATGGGTTTTTAACGAAGCTATATAAATTCTTCAGTCATATTGCTACGATATCTACAATGTGGCAGTTTATAGTGATGTCTAGTACTGGGGCATCATGATGTAGACGTGTCCCTCCAAGTCACATTATCCTAACACCAGGCCGACCAATCCTAACACTAACCTCTTAATGCTGATCGTCATGCGAGGCAGTTGTTAGTACCAATTTTGTAAGTATTTGGTATGACTCAGCCGGGGATAGAACCCACGACCTCCCTCATCCAAGGCGGACGCTCTAACCACAAGACCACCGGAGTTTAAAGTAATATCAACTTCAAAGTAATAAATAAACTATCAATTTAAGATTGTCATGAACAAGGAACATTCAGGTACCATCAATGTTAATTCACTAATAGCATGACAAACTATAATTCTGAAAACTTTTAAATATAGACAGATCACAAATGAGAAACAACTCAACATGTCGTCGATGTCGCTGAAAAATGTTAAAATCTAAATACAGTAAGATAATACTAATAATAAACTATTACCAATATTAAAATTACCACTGCCACTTCTTGTAATACAACTGTAAGTAATACATAGTTAATAAATTACACTTACCATCAGATACACTGGCTGGCATCTCATTGTGGTCAGCCTCCAACAAAGCTACACTAGCATCGCATCTCTCCATGGTTAGACTTTCAGCACTGGTCCGGTTGGAACAAAAATACAACAAACACTAGGTCGATGCAAAAAAAGTCTGGTGATTTTGGTCAGAATTTATAATAGTGTACATGACATGTTTTACTACTACTGAAAATCACTCTCGGAGTAGGCTTGCTCGGTAATTAGACATCGATGACCGCAGGTGACGTTTTAAAAGAACGGTGCCAAGGGACCAGTGAAGTATAGCCATGTCACGGGTGGTGAACATAGTTCGCAGTTTCGGTCAGACGTCTAATTAGGTGATGAAAAGATTACGCCACGTGCATCACGACAATTAATACTGGTCAATTCATTCCGATAATGAAATGACACCTTGCGAAGGGGATTAAATATGCCCTCACGCTATTCTTTGATTTGAGCGATAAAATTCGTAATTTCCGTTATTTCCTCCCGTCCACATTTACTTTTTATTGTCGTTCTCGCTGCCGCGAGCGTGGCTTATATTTTTGTTTTCTTAAAAATCAGGGTGACCACTTTTAATCCCTCCGGTATTATTCCTCCTAGGTAATTTCCGTGGTGGAGATAAAATTATTTCCTTTTAAAAAGGTTGATAAAAGCAATAATATTAGAAAAGGATTTCCTATTTTAAACAGTCTTCTTCCGTGCTCGTTATCTCTCACTTAAAATATATTGATCTAAAACAAGCATATAATCTCTCTCTATCTCTCTCTCTCTCTCTCTCTCTCTCTCTCTCTCTCTCTCTCTCTCTCTCTCTCTCTCTCTCTCTCTCTCTCTCTCTCTCTCTCTCTCTCTCTCAGAATGTATGTTCACACATGTTCATATAGTCATTATTTATTCATTTATGCAACAGCACCATATAAATGAATTATGTATTTAGATGACTGTTGTTTTTTTTTAATGTCATAAAATTCTAAAAAAGCAAATTTCGGGTTATCAATCAATATTTCTCCTAGTTAAACTATTAGCGGATTTTATTTTCAGTTCCCCTGTTTCGAGTATTAGGATACAAGGACAAATAAAATCAAAGATTTAACAATGAAATCAATCGACACGTGAATAGCTGCATTTCCTTGAAAAGTGAATGATCATTAATATAAAAACCTTTCTCTGTTTTGATAGGATATTTCACACAAACATTCCACTCGGGTATGAATAAAAAGAGTCCTTCTACAAATGAATATACTGGAGAGTTTTTAAAAAGAGTCCTTTTACAAATGAATATACTGGAGAGTTATTAAAAAAGAGTCCTTCTATACTCGAGGATGAATAAAACGAGTGTTTTGGTAATGTTGGCTACTAGGAAAGAAGTATTATTAACTTAAATATTTTTAGAACGGTTCGTGTATGTTGAAACGTAGTAAATTACTAAATTGCACGAAATCTATCCAGGACATTATTATTATTATTATTATTATTATTATTATTATTATTATTATTATTATTATTATTATTATTATTATTATTATTATATAATTTTCTTTAGTTCACTGTTAATATTATATCATCTGTATTTCATTGTTTACTACATGCATTAATATCCGTCATATTCTTAAATAAAGTTTTTATGATACATCTGAGAAAAGCATTGAATGCTACTAATATATTTAAGTCACTTTAAATATAGTGGCGTATTTTACAGTTCATACATTAAGGTGTATAATAATAATAATAATAATAATAATAATAATAATAATAATAATAATAATAATAATAATAATAATAATAATAATAACAATAATAATAATAATAATAATAATAATAATAATAATAATAATAATAATAATAATAATAATAATAATAATAATAATAATCATCTTTATTTAACGAGGATAACAGATTTGGTCATGAAAGACCCATCTGTCATGTTGTCTTCGATTTGTGTAGCAGGTTATGTTATAATTTTTTTAATCAATCAAACACGTTCAACTGTACTCGTACAAAAATGACTTCATAGGAGTAACTACAGCGGTCAACGGATACTCGTATTAACAAGATACTATTCGCAGGTTCAACACCGTTCAGCAGGTCAAAAGTTATACGTACTTCCATTGAATAAAACCAGTAGATCATATTTCTGGACACGCGGATACAATTGTCTATTAAAAGGCTTTAATATTTCCTTCCGGCTGGTCCAGAAAGAATTTCTTTAATGCGGGTTTAAACGATGAAAGGTAATTGAACTTAAGTATCTTGAGGCGTAAGGAATTCCAATGGGTAGGTGCTGATACCGTATATCTTTTAAATACTCATTTTGACCATGAAATCTGGAGATCGTTGTTGGTTGTTGATCGGAGATTATGCACGGTAAGTGGGGATCTAAGTTCAAAAGGTTTGAGGTATAATTTGGATATATATATATATATATATATATATATATATATATATATATATATATATATATATATATATATATATATATATATATATATATATATATATATATATATATATATATATATATATATATATATATATATATATATATATATATATATATATAACATTCGATGGAATCGTAATAGAAAGTTTCAGAATTACTCGGATGGCCCTCTTCCTGGTGTGCTTTCCTCCATGGCACAGCCGAAGTCAATCAGTGGTATTACATGCCTCGAAAAATAATGTTCTGCGACAGAAAATTTTAGAGACTTGTTCTTTTGACGACAATTGCAGATATGTGATACTGCAGCTGACGTATAGATCAATGTAGAAACCAGGAAGTATTATTTTTTAACACAGAACAAGTCTGAGCCAATATGAGTTAGAAATAAATCCATGTCGGTCTACAGGCGATGCCTTGTTCAGATTGTCATAGATTTCCCTTCAGAGGATTTATTATACGTTATTTTTTATTGACACCAATTTGATATATTTTTGAGTCAAATTGAAGTTTATTGTCAATGGAGTGATGATATTTACCAGATGACTGCAATATGGAGTCGTCAGCAACATACTTTTTATATGTTTAGTAGATATTACGATCAATGGAACTAGCAATCATTATAGAGAAAACAACAATTATCGTATCGGGTTAAAAAAAATAAACATACATACAAATTTAAATTAAGCAAGGTCGATACTGATATTATTGATGAATATAACTAATTAGGACTTATATTTCACAAGAAATATCTTTTTCTCCAGTGGTTTGAATGATCTAATATCTATAAATAAGAAAGATATGCATCTAATTAAAAAAAAAAGAACGTAAACACAATTTAGATTTATCTATTGATTGTCAGCTGCAAATGTTTGATCAAACCATTGTACCGATTTTAGCATATGCTTGTTAAATATAGGGTATTTGTGAGATCTGATATTGTCAGGAAAATGATCTTTCTTTCCTCAGAAGTTTATTGAATGTCAAAAAATGTACCCCAAGCACTATATGGCATACGGCAAACTTGGTAATTTCCACTGCGCTAGATCGCTTAGAGTTAATGAAGAAAATATCTTATCATAGGTGTTCTCTCGTATACAAACACTTTGGTGATAATTCTTATGATAGTACTTGAAGTAAAATCTATATTAGCTGTATGGAGAAATCAAAATTATGTGTCACTTAAATCCATAACAAGTTCAGTAGAAAAACGACTGACAGATCAATGTATGCAAGTTTGTGCAGCTAACGTAAACATTTCATCTATACTTTCTTAATTACAGATTATTTAAAATAGCTTCGATTTTGGAATTATAAACACTTAATTAAATTTAAAACTGCAAATTTAAAGGTTTCTCGTCGAAACTAGTAGATGCACTGATATTTCCTATAGCGTAAGATACTGTACACTTTGTCAGTCTCAAGAAATAGACGATGTATATCGCTATCTTCTGTCATGTTCGTATTTTATGATGAAGGATAAAACTTTATACCTCGTTTTAACACTTCTTGGTATTTTATGATGAAAGATAAAACTTTATACCTCGTTTTTACACTTCTTGGCATTTTATGATGAAGGATAAAACTTTATACCTCGTTTTTACACTTCTTGGTATTTAATGATGAAAGATAAAACTTTATACCTCGTTTTTACACTTCTTGGTATTTTATGATGAAGGATTAAACTTTATACCTCGTTTTTACACTTCTTGGTATTTAATGATGAAAAAAAAACTTTATACCTCGTTTTTACACTTCTTGGTATTTTATGATGAAGGATAAAACTTTATACCTCGTTTTTACACTTCTTGGTATTTAATGACGAAAGATAAAACTTTATACCTCGTTTTTACACTTCTTGGTATTTTATGATGAAGGATAAAACTATATCTCGTTTTTACACTTCTTGGTATTTTATGATGAAGGATAAAACTTTATACCTCGTTTTTACACTTCTTGGACTAACGTTTATAATCAGTCAATCAATACAGGTAACGCACGACTCTTATAAGTATTTGCATGTTATTTAAATTTTAATCTCAGAATTTTTTAATCTTTTTTAGGCACTATGGAATTACATCACACTCTATATATTCCTGTTCTCGATCTTATATGTTGTAAATTTTAAAACATGAGTGTAATAAAGTCTTCTCAGGTCTTGTCGTCGAAAAGATTTGTCTTAGAGAGCACTGGGAACGACAAGATTAAGTCTTTGATAACAGTAAAAAAAAGTGGCCCTAACATTTAT